TTTATTTATCTACTGATGAAACTTATTGTGAGCCTAGCACGGCTGAGGATATTTTGAGAACTAAGTAATGATTTTAAATTCTATTTATACAGGGTGTTTCAGAATTATGGGATAAAACTTCTAGAGGTTATTCAGTGTAACAGTAGAAAACATTTGAGTATAGGGACCTATAGCCGTCACTACTGCACTGCGGCCCTAAGACGCGTTAAAATTCAAATGCTGCTATAATTCGTCCAATTAGGTCTTGCTCTGTTTCTACTGGAGTTTCGTAAATCAAAGACTTTACATGTCCCCACAGGAAAAAAACTAGCGACGTTAAATCGGGTGACCTAGGAGGCTAAGAAACTGCTCCACCTCTGGCGATCCAACGGTGCCCAAACCGCTGAGCCAAATAGTCAAGTACTTGTACAGCAAAGTGAGCCGGCGCTCCATCATGCTGAAACCACATTTGCTGTCGAACGTTCAATGGAACATTTTCAAGAAGTTCTGGAAGAACTTCCTCCAAGAAACGCCCGTAAATAGGTCCTGTTAACCGTTCCGGTAGAAGGTATGGCCCAATCAAATAATCATCAACATACGTTGATAGACCAACGTTGCTGATGTTTTCTAGGAAAAATTGCATGGGGATTTTCTTTGTCCCAAACGTGACTATTCCTACTATTAAAAATACCGTCTCTTGTGAAAGAGGCTTCATCGGTCCGTAAAACATAGCGTAAAAAATTTGGATGTGCAGCGATTTGATGAAGAAGCCATTGACAAAATTGACCTCTAGAATGATAATCGGCTGCAGTCAATCCTTGAACATTCTGGAAGTGGTAAGGATAAAGTTGTTGCTCGTCTAGCACCCGCCAGTGGAAGCGTTACTCGTATTCATATCCTCAGCAATGTGACGTGTGCTACTTGATGGTTCGTCGGCAACTCGCTGAAGGACCTCTTCATCAAATTCGACCATTCTTACGGTTCGAGCAACACCAGTATCAAGCATGTTGGTTTTAAACATGCCTGTCTCGGAGAGCCGCCGATGAATAGCAATAAACTTTTTGTATACCGGATGCTGTCATTCGCGATAACGTTCTTGATATAACCGCGCTGCTGCTTGTGCATTGCAGCTTGTTGCTCCGTATGCCAAATGCATATCCGCCAACTCTTGATTGGTAAAGTTTTCCATTAGCAACAATGAATTTTTGTTGAATTCTTGCAAATTTCACAAATACGATAGCACGACTAAGGCGATATGGAATGTAGCTACAAAAAAGAATCTCTGTTATCGTTTTTAAATATAACAACACACAAGCACCGGATATGGGTCCTATACTCAAATGTTTTCTACTGTTGCACTGAATAACCCCTACAAGTTTGATCCCACAGTTCTGAAACACCCTGCATACGCAGCTTGAATATTCCTTAATTTCTATTCATTTCAGGTAGTTTTCAGATCATCCAGTCATGCAGAAAGGAAATTATACATACAACCTAAGGGGGAAATTAATTGTTCAATTGACTTACCTTAAGGAAAATTGAACCATATTATATGAGTATTGCCGTTCGAAGAATTACAAAGTTACCACTTGTAGTAGCAATTTTTCCCGCTCGCACCAGCACGAAGTTCAAAGCAAAATATGCTCCCCGCCCCTGCCCATACCCGGCATAGACCGGTACCTGATCTCCTCTACCAAGACTCGTCATTGCAATTTACGCAGCTAATCCCGTTCGGAACAGTGGGAGGGATGAAAAACAATCGGTGGGTTTGTAATTCTTCGAACGGCAATACTCATATAATATGGTTCAATTTTCCTTAAGGTAATTATTGAATTGAACAATTAATTATATTTCGTATTGCCGTTCTCGAATTACAAAGTAACCACTTGTAGATGTTCAAAGAAGAGTCCGAATCGGGATCATGGCACCATATTTATTTCGTAAAGATCTAATAGAGGAATCTAAACAAAACAATTCAATAATACTATCTTCTAATACAAATTATTATATTATGAACAGTTCACTACTCTCTCTTCAAAAAGTAGTATAGAATTTGATCAAACTCTATTAATCCATAAAAAAAATATATTAAACTGAGCTTAACTCAAGATACCTTTAGCAAAGGCCGTAACATCACTACAAAGAGGGCGATTATAAAACTTAGCAAACATTTCTGTTTTTTTCGTCCAACCAGCCCTCTCTCTTATCATTTCAATAGACTCCAGCCCTATAGGCTGCAGATCTAGCTGCATGCCTAGTTCTATAACTAGAAAATATAGAGGTATCAATACCGCCTGCTTGAAGGGTCAGTTTGATCCATTTACTCAATCTCTGTGTAGAGGCTGGGCGAATAGGTCTCTTAACTAGAAAATATAGAGGTATCAATACCGCCTGCTTGAAGGGTCAGTTTGATCCATTTACTCAATCTCTGTGTAGAGGCTGGGCGAATAGGTCTCTTAACTGTTAAAATAAGAAAATCAGTATCAAGTGGGCGTATGCCTCTGGTTTTTATTTCATAGAAATCGATAGTTGAGGCTAAACAAAGGCTTGGGTTTTCCCGAAAATATGGGATCACTAAAAGGGGTTGAAGATCCTTGGAAGATGAAGTTTTGATTCTATCCGTAATGTTAATTTCTATTCTATCAGTATGGCGAACTATATTTTGTAATCGTATATAAGTGAACGTTTGTAATCGATGGCCAGTAATTAAAGCTAACAAAGTAATTAACTTCATAGTCAATTGCATAACAGATATTTCTGTTAAGGGATACAAGGTAGATAAGTACTCTAAAACTGGTTGAGGATCCCAAGTTGATTGGTACTTAGGTCTGGACGGACTCTGATTGAAAATTCCTTTAAGAAACCGTTTTAGAATAGTTTTATCTGAGCTATTTATCTCAAAAATCAAAGCTAATGCCGCATACTGTGAGTTAAGTGTTGAGTAGGAACAACTGTTTTGAAATTGATCACTCAAAAAATTAATGACTGCGTCTAATGAATACAAAAAAGGACTCTAGCCTTTGCTTATGCAAAATTGCCACCACTTTTTTAATTTCGATGAATACCGTCTCAAAGTAGATGGACTAAGCGATGCCTTGATTGCTTGGAGCCCGTTTTCTGGCACTCCTCGTCTGAGAACAGCTTCCCCGATAAACTCCCAGCCTCCAGGGAAAGTGTTCTCCACAGTGGATGGCATCCCCTAGAAGGGGAAGAGAGAAGGGCTTTATTAGGCGAAAAGATTATAGATCTTCCTGTCAATAATTTATGGAAAACGGAATACCACGGTTGAGTTGTCCAATTAGGAACCACAAGAATTCCACAAGCTTGTTCAGCAATAATTTTTTGTAGGCATTTTGATATGAGTGAGAAAGGAGGAAACGCATAAAAAAACTCTTTTCTCCAAGGCACTGTAAATGCATCAACTGTAAAGGAACTAGGATCTGGTTTCCAAGAAATATACCTAGGAACCTTGGCATTTAACTGTGTCGCAAATAAATCCACAGTCGGTTTCCCGAAACTAGAACAAATTTCTCGAAAAGCCAAACTCGATAACTCATATTCTAGGTTGATAGATTTCGAGCGAGATAATCTATCTGCATATAAATAATCTGTTGTATTTATATATGAAGCTACTATGAAAATTTGTCTATTCTCACACCATTCCCAAATCTGGCGTGTGATGTTATTAAGGTGCTTATATCTTACACTACCCATATGATTTATGCAAGCTATAGCCGTTACATTGTCGATCCTAAGAAGAATTGAACAAGAAGATATATTCGAGGCAAAGGATTTAAGTGCATTAAATGCGGATAGTAACTCCAAATAGTTAATGTGTCTGTTAGCATCGTCCACATTCCAAACCCGTAGTACCTCTATTCTGACAAAAGGCACCCCAACCAGTTAATGAAGCATCTGAGAAATGATGAATTTCCTATCTGCAACAATAGCTACACCTTCATTATTTATAAGAGTGTGATGCCATCAATATATTTCTGATCGCATTATTTCTGAAATTATTACTGAGGTATTGAAATTTTGCTCGTGTCTTTTTAATGTTACATATTTAACTCGTTCTAAAATCTTAAGGTGCATCCAACCATATTGTACAGTCGGGCAAGCGGAAACTAGTTTTCCTATTAACTGAGCTAAAACTAAAACAGAACACCGATTGCGGCGTAGAAAAGTCTCTACTAGTTCCATCATGTTTTTCACTTTTTCTGTTGGTAAGGACACCCTTAAATTTGTGGAATCAAAAACAAAACCTAAAAAGGTACATTGTTTGGCTGGGATCATAGAGCTTTTATCTTAATTTACTAAGAATCCTAAATATTCTAAAATATCCTTAGCAATTTGACAGTCTTGCTCAGCTGTTTGTATTGACTTACTGATAATTAATAAGTCATCTAAATACAGTACACAAATTATACCTCTAGTCCTTAAATATTTAAGGATTGGTTTCATAATTTTTGTAAAGACCCATGGGGCTGTACAAAGACCAAAAGGTAAACAATTAAAATGGTAATATACACCTTGAAATTTAAAAGTGAGGTATTTTCTGAATGTCTGATGCACCGGTATCATAAAATAGGCATCTTTTAAATCTATTTTAGTGAAGAAACAGTCATTATAAACCAATTTGAAGACAGTCCTGAAATCTTCCAATTTAAAGTGGGGTGGTTCTAAAAATTCGTTTAATTCCTTTAAATTTAGAATAAACCTGAATGCCCCACAAGGTTTTGGTATTAAGAAAAATGAGGACAAAAACTGGCCAGGTTTTGAGGTAGTTTTGGATACTGCTCCTATGTTTATCAAAAGTCTTATGCTATCCTTTAATTTATCTGATTCCTGCAGCGTAAAAGCAGGTCTAGGTAAACGCCTTTGCTTAGGTTTCTTAACAAGAGGCATTTTATATCCAGATAACCACGAAATAATAGTAGAATCTTGTGTAATGTTTGCCCACTTATTTACATATGCAGATAAGCGACCCGTATACATATCGCAAAGAGTATGTACCTTGTCTACTGCTTCCGGTATGACCTTGCTGAACGAAACCTCTCCTCCTCCTTTTTCATGCGAGATTTGTGTTGCTGGCGCCGGGAGTTTAAAGACGACGGGACCCTCGACGGACCTGGCTTGGGCTCCAATTTCTTATAGACGACTGGTTTGGAAGATGCTGATCCTAGAGCTTTTTCCTTCTTCTTGATTGAAAAGCCTAATCGTTGAGCTTCACTTGCGGATTTCCATTGGTCCGGGAATGTTTTTCCAAATAAAAATTCATCAATTGGGCAAGTATCAGAAAATTTGCGAACGTTGCCATCCAAAAATGGTAGAATGGAATAACGACGATGAAGAGAAATCGCGTGAAAAACATCTGCGATTATTTTTAGTGGAGCACAGCATCTTTCCAAATCAGCTCGTGTTTCGTCTGTAGAATTCGATTTCGTTATTTCATATTGCTTATCGAAGCCGACGGCCAGTGCACTTATCCCAGATGCTAACTGGGAAATATAAAAATAAAATGGAGGAACCGTTCCTCCAGGTGCATTAACAAATCCCAGAATCGTGACTAAGGTGCCTCTTTCGGCTGAGGTTACCTGTCCTACATGTTTTGAACCTTTTGTTGCGACAACTCTTGGAGGATTTGTGACCGTGAGGCAGCCGGTTTCGTCCAAATTCCAAATCATATGTGGTTGAAATTTATGTTTAGCCAGAATTCGTTCCAAATGTTCGTAAAATTGATTTACGTTTTCTCGATTAAAAGAAGTTGCTCTAGAAAGTGACGTGTTTTCAGGTTTTCTCAAACTTAGTGCCGGATTTCTTTTTAAAAAGCCAGCAAACCAGTCCTTTGATGCGATCTCCTTTTGATTCCAAGTGTGTCGTGAAACATCATGTGCTTTAGCATACTGATAGGCAAGTTCCCTAACTTGCACAGTTGTAAGACCATAACACATCTTTGACGACGTTTGTAGATAGTCAGCTAGCATTCTTTCCTGATCAAGGGAGAAGAGTCACTCATTTCCTACATTAGGGTGTTCGCGATAGATTTCTTCTTGATTTTTAGCTTTCTTACAAATAGTAGCTAAGTAAGACTTAGATAGATTATGGGCCGCAGCTACTAACCGCATAAATTGATTGTGTTCAACAACTTCTCTTACGGCAGCTTCGACTACATCAGTGGATGGTCGCAACTTTTTTTTTCGTGTACACCTGGTAACCTAAAAAGCAACAAAAAATATTAGTTATTTTATTTATTATTATACTAGAAAAATATTAAATAAAAAAATATGTTTTTTAATAAATTTATCAAAAGCCATGAAAAGGATACCTCGTAATAAAACGGACATGTCCGTTTCAATACGACTTTTTCTGTCCACTTCATCACAACATGTACTTAAACTAAAAATTACAATAAAAAATGCAGAAAAAGAAATATTTTACAAGATCTTTCCCTAGGTTTATCTTCTATAATAACCACTTTCAAAACTTACATAACTAAAACTGATCAAGTATTGACAGCTTACCTGTGCCATGGTTCGCAATTTTCACAAACAAAATACTTTTTAAGGCAAAAAATTAAAAACGTGTGCCATCAACACAAAATCAATCGACTGACTGGCAAATTTCCGTGGTGGTCGTTGCTGTATACGGGGTTGCATATCATAAAGGAAAATTGTTTATATAATTTATGAGTAAGGGAACGGCCGCCAGTGTCCATTTCATCAACCGTCCGTTTTATGCCGGATCTCCCCTACGTATTTTTGGATTGATGCGCGAACCGAAACAAATAAACACTCATATACAAGCTTATAATAAGTAGACTCACTGAGTATTAAAGTTAATGTGGTTCATGGAACGATTCATAGGAAAAACATGATTCAAAGATTGAAAAACCACAAAAATGCACAAAAAGCGCTAAATACTCTATTTCTTGGCAGTAATTTCTGAAGCATATCACATTATTAATACCGTAAATATAATATAATGAAAAAATACGCGTCTTGAAGTTCACAAATAAATTCAATAATAGTCTGGAATCAAACTTTTTATTTTTGAGTGTGTTATGGGCAAAAAATGGCCCTTATCACCCACCTCCTTTCAAGTTTATATTTGTCAATAGTATTAAGAAGATTGAATTGGTAGTATGGATAATCTCAATGCCCGGTGTTATAATGAATGCAACTTATATCTGACTTATTTCCAGTTCAGGTTTCTCTCGTTCTAAGATCTTAAGCAAATTATCAAACTATTAGGTAATCTGTTTAGTTTATATGGAATTCTCAAAATTTTGGAGCCAATTTTTGAAATCATCGGTCATGCCATTTTAAATCATACAAATACTTCACTAGAAATAGGTGCTATACCAGATAAACATAAAATTAGCACAGTTGTCCCTTCTTCAAAAGTAACAAACACAATAAAAGCTAAGAAGAACAAGAACAAGAATACCGACAAATCAATACTCTGTGACCTCTTGGAAAAACTTAGCTCTCTATGACCAACTGGTTGAGCACAATGGAGCAAATGATATTCTTCAACAATTAGCATTTCATAAGATGCACTCAAATGAAACTGTTATTCAATTAACTGTGTGCAAATTTGAAAATCAGATTTACAATAATAAGAATGTTATTTCTGTGTTTATTAACATGAAAAGGGTGTTTGAGATCATAGCTAGAAATATATTGCCAGAAAAACATGCGACCTATGGATTTTTCGATAAAGTATATGTCAGTTACTGAAATGGCTAGAAACAAGGAGTGAGCATTAATCAGAAAATGTCAAGTATAATTGAAAATATAAATAGGAGTTCCGCAGGGTAGTCTGTTGGGTCCGCTTCTTCCTATTTATACCTTAATGATAGTTACTTCTCTGTTGAGTGTGAATTAATTAATCTTTTTGCTGATGATACGGCACTGTCAGTAGTTCGGGAGCTGCTATTAACAAGATTAATCTAAAATGATGATCATAACAACTAAATTTGAATATCTTCTCATTAGCATATCTGATCTTAATATTCACAATAACACTGAAATTGTCACCATACAGAAGTATTTGGGAGTTCAGTTAGAGAACTGTTTAATTTTTGATGTGTCTTTTTTTCCTCTCCATCTTCGTTTCCTCAGGTTACACCCGTATCCGGATGTGTGGGCATGTGTATCTACTTTTGTAGTTACATATGTGCATTCATTTCGGGCCTGATGAAGCCAACCAGCAGAAATACGTATCGCTCAGGTTACCTATCCTATTTTCTGCTTGAATCCACTTTTTGCGGATTTTGCCCATTATTTTCCTATTTTTGTTATATATATATATTAAGTGACATATAAATCCGAACACCCAGTTTAAATGGTTTTATTTTAATAAAAGTTGGTGAATGTATTTATCTTACTGTAAATAACAAGTGAAAAAATTTTCAGTCTTATTAGTTGGACATTCCGGTTTTTATACTGCTTTTTTTTTAATTCACTAACGCTCTAAAAATGATGGGCATGCACGATGGTCGTGCCAGGGTTAGAAGGCGACGTGGTGAAAGGTGGAATCCACAGTTTTTTGTGGAAAGACATGTTCATCACACTGTTGGAGTTATGGTTTGGGGTGCTATAGCTTATGGTTCCAGGTCACCTTTAATCTTCATCAGAGGTAACATGAACGCGCAGCGTTATATCCACGAAGTTCTAGAACCCCATCTTTTACCCTATATTGACAGATCCAACTTTCCAACAAGATAATGCCCGACCACATGTTGCAAGAGTCACAATAGACTTCTTTCAACATAATGATGTCACATTGTTACCATGGCTACCAAGATCTCCCGACTTATCCCCAATTGAGCACGTGTGGGATATGATGGGTAGGAGATTGCTCAATTTGCAACGTCCTCCTCAGACTCTAGAAGCACTTCGAGAGGGGTTGGTAGTTGCCTGGAATGAGATACCACAGGAGGACATTGACCACCTGATCAGAAGCATGCCTAGGCGCGTTGGAGAATGCGTAGCACATCAGGGTGCATCCACACATTATTAAAGGTCAAAGGGCTTTAAAGCAGTGCAATCATTTTGAAATTTTTATCATTTACTTATTATGCTTCATTAAGTACTTATACAAAATTTTATTAAAATAAAATCATTTAAACTGGGTGTTCGGATTTATATGTCACTTAGTATACAGGGTTATCCAAATTAAGTGTCCACCATTAGTAACTTTGTTATTAGTGAAAATACAAAGTTGTTTGAATTAGCAAACTAGTAGCATTTTTAACGCTGGTAAAAATGAGAAATAAAAAAAAACAATTGAGAGTCGTTATTTTGATTTTTTTCAGTAAAATAACATTTTTTTAAATGGAAACCCCTGTATATTATATTTTTTTCTGTTAAAGCATCAAATTTTAAACAAAAAAGCTTACAATAACTTTTCTCCTAGGTTACAAATTGTTGAAGTTATGGCCTCCAATCTGAAACAATTAAATTGTATCGACAAACTTTATTTTCAACATCAACTTATAATCTTACAAAATACAATAACAATTTTTTTTAAAGAAGATGCTCGAAAACACCACCTTGTTCTTCAATACATTTTTGGGCACGTTTTTCAACTGCTCGAACTGTCTTAAGTATGGTCCTACCATCTATCTGGGTTATCTTTTCCCTAACTGCAGTCTTTAACGCGTCAAGGTTATCGTACCTTCGCTTGTAAATTTGGTTCTTTAAGTAACCCCACTGGGGACCTCGGTTGGCCGCGTGGGTCAGAGTGTCGTGCTACTGATCAGCCGGTCGGCCGGGCCGCGAGTTCGAATCTCGCCTTGGCCATGGATGTTGTGACGTCGTGTGCTTGTCCATAAATTAGAAATTTCAAATATAACAACCTAGTTTCTGGCTGCATGGATTAGGTCCTAAAGTCAAAAAAAAAAGTAACCCCACAAGAAGTAATCAAGTGGGTTTAGATCTGGTGATCTGGGAGGCCACTGTATTGGGCCATTTGTTCCTATCCACTGATCATTGCAAATGCAGATGATGTCTACTTATAAGATCCAATTCGTCTAAGAAATTAGTCAGAATTTCTGACATAAATTCCACATATCTTTCACCAGTTAGGGTTCCCTCATAAAAGAACGGGCCAACAATTTTTGAACCAATTATACCGCACCAAACGTTGAAACTGAAACGGACTTGTGGGCCTCTTGGATGTACTAACAAAAGATTTTCTCTTGACCAATAATGGTGTTTTTTTCTATTAAACATTCCAGAATTTGAAAAATTTGATTCATCTGTCCATAAAAGGTAACGAAAGTTATTTACATTTTGGCGACAGAAGCTAAGATACCAATGGCAAAAAACAAGTCTTCTCTCTGGATCCCCTGCCAAAAGCGTTTGAACTGGTCGGTACTTATACGGAATAAATTTGTATTTTTTTAAAATCCTTTGAACAGTACCATAACTGAAATTAGAGTCCTTGAGAATATCTGCTATTGAATTCTCACGATAAGCTTCAAAATATCCAATAACTGCAATTTCCGTGGCCTCGCTTATTATGAATTCTTTTTTTGCCCTTGTTTTAGCAAAAACATTTTCGTTGCCCCTAAATTTTCGATAAAGTCTCAGAAAATATCGATCATACGGTTGAATGCGAGCGGGATATAATTCACTGTAGTATTCTCTTGCTCTCAAGGAGGATTTTCTGCACACTAAATAGCATTCTAACATATCACACTTTTCTTCATGGGAGAACATTTTTCTTTAAATTAATGACACAATAAAGCTTATATAAACAAGTATTTACACTAATGTTTGACATTATTTGATTTTATCATTGTTTTCCAAAGCCTTCTAGTTGCGAGTTTGTCCAGTTTAACAATTTGTCGCTTATCTTAATGCTGTCAAATCGCGAACGCCATGTTGTTTTCATAGCCGTCTTAATATTATAATACTGCAAATAATTAAAAATATTTATCGTTATTTTGACTTTATTTTTGACTTTAGCGGAAAAGTCATTATGAACTTTTTTGTTTAAAATTTGATGCTTTAACAGAAAAAAATATAATATACAGGGGTTTCCCTTTAAAAAAATGTTATTTTACTGAAAAAAATCAAAATAACGACTCTCAATTGTTTTTTTTTATTTCTCATTTTTACCAGCGTTAAAAATGCTACTAGTTTGCTAATTCAAACAACTTTGTATTTTCACTAATAACAAAGTTACTAATGGTGGATACTTAATTTGGATAACCCTGTATATATATACATATATATATATATATATATATTGTGTTACTGTTGTTCCTATTTTTCAGTATACTTGATAACTCTATGGAGGTAATAACTTTGAAAAGACAGTGCTGAATTCATTGGTGTTTTGTATGCTTCGTACTAAGAGCGTCACCTTCATTGTAAAGTTTGAAAAGTAATTTCCGCGTTCGATCCAGCGCAAGGCCACTTCCGAACTTACTTAACATTTTATTCCGTTTTCTTAAAATAGTAGCTGCAATTTCACCTTTGTCGGTATATTTAGAACTTGTCATTTTATATATAGAATA